GGTTTTCTTTAGGTCATGAAAATAAGATGTTCTTCACATTGTGGTCCTTCACGTGCACCCTCCTCTGTCTTCTGGCTACCTACCCAACAACTTCTTCAATGTCTCTTTTTATTTATATGTCACAGAATCATTAAACTCCCTAGTGCTCCTCCTTTGAAGTGTATTCAACAAAACAAATCAAAATTAATACACTGACAGGCTTTGTTTCCTCCTTCCCCCTGACCCCAACAACAACAACAACAACAACAAATCTCTGTTTAGGCTGCTTTTGAATAACAAAACAAAGTAAGATGCACCAAGAGCAAAGAGCATACCAAAGGTGTGCCCAGTGAGCCTCTCACTGAGAGTAATGCAAGTGTAATTAGCTGTTTAATGAACCATTATTAAGCTGACTGGTGTTGAGGGTATAATGTACACATTTGGCTCAACTGACTGGCATCATTTTTATCAGATATGAAATAAAACAATAGAATTTGTTAGATCACTGGATAGATACTTTCATAGGTAGCCTCAAAGATCTCTTCCAGAGCTGAGGGTTCTATAATGAGGCTAATTAAATAGACTTTCTTGCACCATCAAAACTTAGTTTTAAGAAAATGTCTTTATTCTTATTTAAAAATAAAAACACCAGTAAAACCTCATCACAGAATTAACATTTCTATTAAGCATGCCCTATGACACAGAAGTAAAATAAGGCATTAATATTGTTTTCCATTTTCTTCAAATTTTTGTTTGCATGCTCTGAGAATTTTGTCCTAAACTATTATAGTTAAGTTATTATACACTAAAATTCTCTTTCACTAATTATAAGATTTATATTTTTCTCTCTAACTATAATTACCAGAGTTATTTAAGCTTAGTTTATTTAAATGGGTTCATTGTGTATCACTATTATTTCCTATATAATTAGATCATTCGCTTTTATCTTTTGAAGATGAGGAAAAAAATTCTTGAAGTGCTTTTATTTGTTTTAGTAAAGATTTACGGAGGGTTAGAGAAAGAGTTAGGGTTATTTGACAGTCTTTTCTTGTATTATGGAGTTTATTTTTTCTTTAGTCTCCTTGAGATTCAAAACAATTATGTAAACTTTTGCCTAAGTGTCCATCAGCAGATTAAAAAACTGTGGTACTTTTACACAATGGAATAGTATGCTGCTATTAAAAAAAAAAAAAAAAGGAAATTTTACCATTTGCAACAGCATGGATGGAACTGGAGAGCATTATGCTAAGTGAAATAAGCCAGTTGGAAAAAGATGAATATCACATGCTCTCACTCATATGTGGGATATAATGATCAACATAATTTGATAAATAAGAATAGATCCAGAGACAAATGGTGGTGTGGGGGGATAGAGAGTAACCAAAGCATTTGTATGCATGCATATTAGCATACCAAATGGACACAGACACTGGGATGGTGAGGGCTTGCCCAGGGTCAGAATGGCTGGGAGGGGGTCAATTGGGATAAAAGAAGACATATTTAAAAGTTTAGACAATAAATAAAAAAAGGTTCAGTCCAGGAACACACATAATGTGTATACTTGTATCTGTAGCATATTATCCCAATAGAGGGTTTACTGGGCCATAGAGTATATCTATAATTTTTAAATCTATTATTTTTATTGATTTCAGAGAAGAAGAAGAAATAGAAATATCAGTGATGAAAGAGAATCACTGATTGGCTGTCTCCTGCATGTCCCCTCCCCCTTGGGGGATCAAGCCTACATATGCCCTGACTGGAAATTTAACCATGACCTCCTGTTCATATGCTGGGGCTCAAGCCATGTCGGACGGGCTATTTATAATTTTAATATTTCACCAAATTGCCCTCTCTAAACTTTGTGCCACTTCTGTACCTTAAAGCAGTATATGAAAGTAGCCGTTTACCCACAGCCTTCCAACAGAAGGCTGTTAAACTTTAGGATTTTTAAGTCTGATAGGCAGCACAGGTTTGTTATAATTTTAATGAATGTTAAACTTTCTGCCCATTTTTCACTCTTCTACATGTGAGAGAGGTCAATAGATACCTTAATTATGGATGATAGGGGTTGCTTTATAAACTTTTAATTTCAATAAGCACACAGTAGTCAAAAACAAGCATTTGTGACTGGAGGGGTTTTGTGTTTTTTTTAACTATAATAAATTGGGGGGTGGGGAGGAACCACCTATGTGGATCTAGTCAGTTCTCTGCAGTCAGTTCATTTTCCTGCAAAGAAGCAAAATCATCTGGTTTTAACTGATAGGTTATGAGTTGAATCTCCCAAAGATATTGATGACCCAGCCCCCAGTACCTGAGTATATGACCTTATTTGGAAACTAAGTCTTTAAAGATGATCAAGATGGTCATTAGGATGAGCTTTAGAAAACAAACACTATTGCCGAGACCGGTTTGGCTCAATGGATAGAGCGTCGGCTTGGGGACTGAAGGGCCGGGGTTCGATTCTGGTCAAGGGCATGTACCTTGGTTGCGGGCATATCCCCAGTAGGGGGTGTGCAAGAGGCAGCTGATCGATGACTCTCTCTCATCGATGTTTCTAACTCTCTATCTCTCTCCCTTCCTCTCTGTACAAAATCAATAAAATTTTTTTTTTAAAAAGAAAGAAAACAAACACTATTACTTCCTCATTCTTAAGCTGTGTTTTGAAATGGTTTTAGAGCAGGAAAATAACTGTAATATATAAAGACCTACTTTTTCAATAGTATAACACTCAATATTTGGAACTCATAAGAGAAATGCTGTGTTGTCTGGGACTTACTTTCATATTCTTTGGTCATAAAAATATGGGTGAAAGTGAGATATAATACACTGCATTATATATTTTTCAAAAATCTTGTTAATTATTTGCTTGAAAATGTAATCAGGGTGCATTCCCATATACTAATTAAAAAGCTAAATTTCTTTCCCACCCACTATGCACCCAGCATTGTTGTAGGCACTGGAGATACTGAGAATAAGATAGACCCTGCTCTTTTAGGGAGTAATTGTTAGATATAGTTTCAAGAGTAAAGCAAACTACCACCATGGTCCCAGGTAGAAAGATAACTTTTTTGAAAAATTACCAAGAGCCATATAGTATAAATGATAAATTCATATGCCTTTAACTTTCTCTTGTGGCTTTTCACATACTTCTAATTATGCTAATATATTCTATCAAAGTTCATATCTCCCTTGCCCAGCACCTGACATAAAATATGATATAAAATAATAGTCCCATTTTTATAATGTCCAATTTTTCATTTTTGTGACAGCAGCACGATGCCATGAGGATAATTAGTTTGAAATAAAAAAGAAAAATGACATCTTGATTATTTGGGATACCAACTCTAGGTAATGTCTTCATCTGTTTTGATTTTTATTTTCTGTTTATAATTCTTCTCAGGACTTTACATAGTATGACATCAATATATCAAAAGTTTTATAAAACACCTGAAAGACATAGTTATTGAAAAAAACAACACAAAGTTCATTCTGTATATATGATGATATATAAGCTCCACTCATAAATAAAAAATCAGTATAATGCTTTTAAGTTAAAGCATATCATATTTCAGATGGTGATATATAATGAACTGCTGTTTTTCATTTCTTGTGATCAATGTCTACATTCTTTCCCACTAAATTATATGTGGAATCGTAATGGAGAGTATGTAGCACTGTAAACAAATCAATTGCAATCGATACAATGGTTATAACTAAGAATTGTATATAAAAGAATTTTCTGTACTACTCAATGGGGAATTTAAGAAATTCTTTGAATCTTACAGTCAGTCTCATTGTACACAGGCTCAATAGAAAGTTGGACAGTCATCTAGGGAATCCATCAAAGGTAGCCAATCTGGCAAGTTCTATGGGATCACAATGGGATTTTGCTTCTGATCAGTTTGGCTGCACTCATCTCACTTGTGTGTTTTTTCTAGACCATGGGTATCTGTAACAGGTGAGCTGCTTTCCTAATCTAATCCAGGAATTCAAAGGAAGGATATGGTCATCATTATTCAGCAATGATTTAGAAATATGCCTTTTAATCATTAATAATCAGGCTAGCTGGCCTTATATTAGTTGTATTTAAAGTTTTCTACCTGTAATTTGTTATGCCATATATATGGCATATACATACATACTAGAGAAATATATATATATATGTTTTATATGTTAAAACAATAACATATATATTGAATATACCTGGGGTTTCATTTGCTGAAATATTTAATTCCTTTAACCAGTTCCAATGAACAGTCCATATTTGAATAGACCAGATCATAGATTAGAAGTCTATGTTTGGTCAACAATGGTTGACCAGGACTGTTGGCTCTGTGGGATAAAGAGAAACTCTGAGTGACAAGAATGAACTACGAAACCAGTACGTAGGAAATACTCAGGAGAGAAGGCAGTGGCATTTAAGGAAGATACACCAAAATAACGGGGTTCGGTATACACATATATCACAGTATCTTTGTCCACAGATCTTCTGGCAGTTCGAGAGAGAATGTCTTCCATTTGAGGTGGAATGTTTTATTGTTTAGGAAAGTACAATGTAGAACAACAACAACAACAAAAAAAGAACACAGCTGACAGTAGGTTTTTCCAAACCTCCCATACTGTCTACGATGCTCGGCATTGACTATCTCTTGGTACTTCCAGAGCGTGTATTCGTGAAGGAGAAAATGACCCAGTACCTTCTCACAGTGTCGCTCCCGCTTCCCGCAAGGCGCACGCACCCTAGGGACCGCCAGCCCGGGCTCCTTCTTCCAGGAACGCGCAGCGCGCGGCACCACCCCCCGAGGAGAGACAGGCTCCTCCGCCGTCTGCCTCCGTGGGATCAGCGACCGTGCGCGCCCCCGCCCCGCTCGAGCACGCGCCTCTGGGTCGGAGGATGGCGGCGCGCGCCCCCGACAGCCCGCGGGGAGAGCTCGGCCCCCGCCGCGCGCCCGCGCGCCCGCCCGGCGCCGGAATGAATGGAAAGTCCAATCTCGCGCGCTCGGCGCCGGCAGCCAATGACGCAGCGGGAGCGGACGCGGCGGCGGGCAGGTGTGCGCGTGTCGCCGCCTGACGCAGGGCGCGAGTCGAGCTGCCGGGTGTCGCCGCCGCTCCCCGCGGCCCCCCAGCCGGCCCGACCCCTCCTCCTTCTCCTCCTCCCCCCCCCCCCCCCACGCCCCGCCACCCGCCGGGCTGCGGCGGCGGCGACCGCGGGTTCCGCGTGCGGCCACCGATCGCCGCCCTCCCAGCCCTCCCCGACCCCGCCGCGCCGCGTCCCCCCGCGGCTCACAATGTGCTGACCCTCCCGGCCGCGCCGCACGCGCTCCGGGGCCTGGCGGCCGCGCTCCCTCTGGAAGGGACCGACCGCGGGCCCCTTCCTCCTTCCCGCTCCCCTCCCGGACCCCGGGCTGAACGCCACGCGCGTCCTCGCACCCCGACCCCCGCTCACACCCGGGCTAGCGGGCGACCATGCGGCCCTGCAGGTAAGCAGCGCGGCCCGCGGCCCGGCCTGCGGGCACGTGAGCAGCGTCGAGGGGCGCTCGGTGCCCGGGGAGCCGGCGGCGAGGCGGGGGCGCGCCCCGGAGCGGGAGGACAGGGCCCGGCGCGCCCCGGAGGGGACAAGGATCGCGGCCGGTGGCCGTTCGGACGCGGGACCCCGTCCCTCCCTCGCCGGCCCTGATGGATGGCCCGCGAGGTGTCCCCGAGATGCGGGCGGGCCATGTACTTCCGGGTTCACACCTTTCTCGCCCGGCTCCGCGCCGCCGGGTCCGCGCGCCTGGTGCGGGCGAGGCATCGCGGCCTCGTGTGCGCGGCCGGCCGGGGTGGCCGCGGCAGCCCCCGTCGGGCGGCCGGCGGGCTGGGAGCGGGAGGGCCGGGCGGGGGGAGGAGGAGCGGGGCCGGCGGCTGGGGCGACGGCGAGGAGGGCGTCCCGGCGGCGGTGGCGGCGGCGGCGGCGGGGTCGCGCGGCCGGAGCGCGCTGCTCGCAGCCGCGGGCCCGCGTCGCCAGGGGGCGCCGCACCTGTCCTCCCCGCACCCCGCCCGCCCCGCCGCCGAGCCGCTTTGTGGCCGGCGGGCGTCGGGGATCCTTGTGGCTTCGGTGTCGGGAGTGCACATTCGTGGATTAAAATGAAGCGTTCGCGGGGGACGGAGAAAAACGCACTAGGGTTTTAGGTCGCTTCTGCAAAGGGAACCACCGGAGAAGCAGCGATGCCTCTGCAGGAGCACTGACTGCCGCCTGGAGCCCGGGGTGCGGGTGCCTTGCGAGGAGGCTTTGTGCTCCAGGAACTTTGTTTTAAGTTGCACGCTGGTGAACACTGAGCGCTCTCGAGTAATCCCGGGCAGTATGCATTTCATGTCCTCACTGCGGGAATTCCTTAAATGTAAGTAATAGTAAGGCCGCCATTTTGGATTGTTTCACGTAACAGACAAGTCTTGGGAGCCTGCGTTTCCTCCGGTTCCTTTCTGCTCGCCCTCTGCACGCGTTTCCATCCATAGGTTTTTGTGGGGGCGGGGGGGGGGGGGTGCAGGGTGCTAGGTATTGGTGCCGTTCACAACACAGCATCCAGTGAGGATTTTTGTACAATTGTTAATACCAGGGGAAAATAAATTACGTTGGTGTTTATTTCTTGGCCACAAATACTGTGGAATTTAACATGGCATGTGCCGGGATTAGAAAATGTGCAACATTGTTGGCAGAAGATGATTGAGAGTGTTTTCGCCTCGTGTCGTTTTTTTGTGCCCGTTTATATTTAGCTAGGTGGTAATGCAAAAACGCTTTTTTTTTTTTTTTAATAAAATGCATCTGTTGGTAAGTCAAATGGTTGAGTTCAAGAATCATTGTTAAAATATCACAATTGAATTTTTATAAAAAGGTTTTGGGAAAACTTTAAAATTGAATTTTTGGAAACAAGCCAGTTAATGTAATTTTGAATATGCAAATTTGGTTGTTTTAAAATATATGCTATTTAGGGTTTTGAGGGGATTTTTTTTGGCTGTGGTTTTGCACAGATTTGATAGAGTAGTCATAAATTAACAGAATTGTAATGATCAGTTTTTCCTTTAGGTTAATTATTAGACTTTTTGTCCATTTGGGGGACATTTCTTCCCAAATTCTTTATCTCTGAATGTATGAAATAGAGCAATCTGTTATGTCTAAATTTCTTCAAGAGCTTTGGAAATTAAACTGACACAGGCCTCTTTCTAGTACTTGGAGGTGAGATGAAGATACTAAAATGAATAAAATACTTCATTTAACTTTGCCATTTTACAAATAGGATCAACTAATCATTGCTTGATAATCAGATGTCAAGAATTTAAGGATCTGAGTAAATTTGTAGTACATATTATTAGAACTATTTTAGGTATTTTTAATAGATTTGGAACCAAATGATTCAAAGATCAATTTTTATTAATCCTTGTCAAATTGTAGTGTCTTATTATATGTCTATGCCAAACTTCTTTCAGGAACAATGAAAAATTTATTGTGAAATTAATCAGTACTTAATTCTGGGTTATGGAAAAGGTACTGTCAATTGTACTTCTTTGTAAGTGAAGGAGATTGGATTTTAATATGGGAGTGCTTAAAGTTAGTCCAGTATGACTTATTTTAAAGTATGTTGCACATGTAAATTCTAAAAAACCACCAGAATTTTAGTAAATATAAGGGTGTGTTTTTTTTACCCATTTATTCCCAAGAAAAGAAGATTAAACATATCTTATCTGTCTGATATTTGGTAATGTTTGGTATCTGATCATGTCATTTTTTTTGGGGGGAGGGGGGTATTTGAAATACTGCTATCATAATTAACAAACCATGATTAAGGGAAACTTAAGTTATTAAAACATGGATAACAGCTGTCTGTCGGGTATAGCACTGATATCTCTCTAAAATAATTGAAGTGTTATTTATAACTACTGAATTTGGGGACTGTAAATGATCTTTAAACATTTAATCTAGAGTTGAGTTGATTCAAAAAGGAAAATGGACATTCAAAGATGAATCTGTTTAGAAGTAATTAAAACTGTTGAGTATAAAATGAACATTACAAATTTTGGGTCACTTAAAAGAATTTTCTTATTTGGTTATTAAGAATCTAATTTTCTTTTAAAATAGTATAGCCCATAAGTGCCCAGAGTTTTTATATTTAAATGCTTTAGAACCTGTATCTTATTTTCTTGCCTCCTAAAGTGACATTTTCTTTCCAAATAAGTACTGTTTTCAATGAACCACAAGGTAAAAAAGAATTTCTAGCTTGCCAAGCAAAACAATGAAATTTTTTTACATTAAAAATTAAGATTTATTTATATGAGCATATTTAGGAATATATGAAATATAGAAACACATCGATTTGAGAAACTGGACCATAATATACAGACTTGGATTTATCTGACAGTGGCTCTATGAAGTCGCTGACCATAGTGCTGAACCAAGACGGCCATATTGGCCACTGTTAAATCTGACTGAAAAACCACACAGAAATTGTAGAGGTTCAAGTAACATCATCACTGTAAGAAATATATATATATATATATATATATATATATATATATATATATATATATATATCATATATACTTTTTAATGTATTCTTTTTATCCAGCTGGGTTGGATTCAATCAGAAACTGTGATAGAGAAATATTATCCCTGACTATTTAACATTGATTTTGAATACTGTCAGTTTAATCAATGAAATCAGTGCTAGAGATTTTCTCTTTCTTTGAAAGCTGCTACTTGCAAAGGAAGACAAGATTTTAAAACCAACTTAAGCGACTAATGAGTTCTTACAAAAAGCAGATTTTTAGTTGATACAACAGTAAGGTTGAGTATGAATTTGATATTTGCAATTTTTGATTCAGGTTTTAGTCTGGCACTATCCAAACCATTATCTAAACGTGTTACCAAAATTAATCAAATTAGAAATAACTCGTGAAATAAATTCTACCTGGAAACTATAATAACATATGTAATTTTCTAAATAGAAATATATACCAGTACATTTTGACATTATAATGGTCTTAGTACTTTGGGCAAATTTTCTATTGTTTGAAGCAGGACAAACACCAGGCTGTCACTTCTTACAATATTTCTAAATTGAACACTGATATGAAACCATCATAGAAATTACCTGCAAAAGAATGCCATGATACATTTAATATCTCAGTAAAAAGTGCTATTTTAGAAATAGAACTTTGACATTATTTTCCTAAAAATAGAATGGGTTGATATGCAGGATCATCAAATTAAAGGTCAAAGGTGACCAACCAGGACAAAGGGCATGCAGCTCATTTTCAAGCAATCAGTTTCCAGTTTTGTCATGGCTGAACAAAAGCTTAATTATATAGAAAAAAGGACATAGTGTTGTATGACCAGTTGTAATGATGGAAAAACATGTTTTAAATTTTCTAGATGCTTTTAAATTAGTATTTCTTTTACAGATAGTGGAAATGCAAAAGCCAAATGCTTTTATATTTTCAAACATTCCTTTTACATTTTTTTTATACTCTGCAAAAACATTTCAACTAATATATTCTATATTGCATAAGTTAAAAACAGGCTTTTCATAGATTAAAAATTTTAGAAAACCTGTAAATTATGCTCTGTTTTTTTTTCTTTTCATTAACCTCTTGGTATAATCTCTGCTAATTAATGTCCTATTGTTTTATTTAATATTATACTTACTACACCATTAGATTGCTGGCAGTGACATAAAGATTAGCAGTCTTTAAAACATCTCTTGATTACATAGAGGTGTTCAAGTTTAATTGGAATCCTTTTTCCCCCCACCATACCAAGAGAGTACATTAAAGTTTCTATCTTTAAAGTTATGGTGGGCCTTCAAAATATAGGATTATCTTTTTAAACTGAAATTTTGCCATTATTTTGGCTCTTTAATTTAAAATCAAAATTTGTTATCTAATTTAAAGTGACCTTTTCAATTATTCAGCTGTGAGCTTTATTTTATGGAACTGTTTAATACTGTGGAAAATACAAACTATTGCCTTAACTGAACCAACTGTGCTATAGCTCAACTGTGTTACAACTTTCACATTTAAGTTAAAGAATTGTTCTTACCAGTTAACTATTGTGCTATACTCAGTGCCTTTAAACAATTTTAGACAATGTGCCAATTGACTTAATATTAATTGAAATTTATTTTCTAAAATAAATTATTTTCTACCACACTTAATTGAAGAGTATTCTAGATCTGCCAATATCTTATATGAAACGAATAAAATTTCAATTTGAAAGTGGTTGAGAAAGTTAAACTCAACTCTGTAATTTAGCAATATTAGAGATACTAGCCTCTAATTTTAGCTTAACTGTTTATATATTATAAATAATGAAAAATTATATATTATAATTTAATTCATAATTATAAAAATATAGTTTTGAAATATTTTTCTTAAGTAATATAAATTTTTCTTTCTCTCAAGAAAATGTTCAAAATATTTCACCAAATGTGAAGTTTCCTGTTTTAACACTCCAGGACTTATGATTTTTCAATTGTATAAAGTCCCATGTAAATATATTTAAAGTAGATCATTTTTTAAAAATTGTTTGTACCTGTATATATTTAAAGGTAGAGTATTTCAGTTATAGGTAAAATTACAGTAGAATGTTCAGTTGAATTACACAATCTATCCTGATTTTGCTTTGCAACATTTGAATTCTGTTGACTAATTTGCAAAAAATAATTACAGTGAAGGGTTTTAATACATAGTAAACATTTCTTTAGAGGACAGTGTAAAGGGGGGGGGGGAGATTAACCAAAGATCTTATATGCATATATGCATTACCTATGGATACAGAAAATAGGGATGTGAAGGCATGGTGGGTTAGGAATAGAATAGGGTGGAAGCTGGTAATGGAGGGGGGGGGCGGGGAAGGAGACATCTGTAATACTCTCAACAAAGATTTAAAAAACACATTAATTTCAATATTGAACTCCAACATTTAATATTTTAGGTAATGTGTTGATGTTATATTTGTATAGTAATCTAAGTAAGTATTATGCTTTAGGTTTCTATCTGGTGTTTGTATAGGATGTTTGCTCTATGATTTTAAGTAGAGTTATTAAAAAACTTTTACCCTAATTATTCTTCTAGGAAGGAAAAGTTACATTGGTGTTTACTTTTCAAATAATGTATTTACTTCAATCATAATTGTCATATTGTAAGTAGACTAAAATTTTTGTTATAAACCATAAAGTGAATGTTTTTGTAGTAAACTATAATGTATCTTATACTTACATTATTTTAGAAAATACTGATAATGAGAAACTAAAGTTGTTTTCTATAGCATTTTTTAAATGTTGAGAAATTATAATGATGAGAGTAAATGAAATAATTTTCCTTTTATATTGGTAAATATTCTTGATTACTAAATCATTCTTGAAAATTTAAAGTAACTTGCATATTAATATTAGAGAGGAAGATTAACATGATGTAAATGGAATTGAAATAAAGTTCTGAGTAACATGTTATAGTAGTGTTTTTACTTATTCAATTCTCTGGGCTCAACAGCTTAATTGGCAATTTTTTTTTAAAGGAGTGTATAGTGTGTAGTAGTAATCATTTTCCTTTATATTGAATAGTTATAATAGTAGATTAACAATATGTCAAGTACTTGAGAAAAATATTCTTATATATTGTAGTAGTAAGTATGAAGTCTAAGAGTATTTGTAATAGTGTTCATCAGTTAGGCAATTTTACAACAGTAAGTACATATACTTTAAATAAAATTCTTGAAATCACATTGTATGCAAATGTTTTGAATTTATAATAGTCAAACAATTAGCTACCTAGCACATTCTCTTTTTAAAAAAGATGCTTTTTAAGAAAATGTACACAAATTAATTTATTTCATAGTAAACTATTCTACACATGATTTAGCCAGGTTCAAAAACACATTAACTACTTATTGATTCATTTAAAAATGTGTATTAAACCCCAAAGAATGCCAAGATTAAAATGATGTGCTAAATCTATACAATTCCTGCCAACATAGAGCATAAAATTCATGTGGGAGAGACAACATTTTTCTGGGTTTATTATAGTCAGTTTCAGTACAGTATTAGATGGTAAAAGCAATGTACTTAGTGTGTAACATTAAGAAAAATAGATTGAAGTGGAGATAAAAATGATGAACAGGTATTTCTAGTGAAGGGTCAGAGAAGTATATTCTAGCATATCACAATTTTAATTAAATTTTTGTTTTTTAATATTTACTCCAAAGTATAGTATTAAATAAATACAGGCATGTATAAAACTACAAATAGCTGTGTTTTTTTTTTATTATTATTCATCCATTTAAGGAATTATTTTAATTCTTTATTGTTATTTTATTTCTAGTAGTCACCTATAATAAGAATATGAACATTTAATATAAATATTTTATGTAACATTTACCTATCTCATTATAATTGTTCAGTAAATATTGGATGGAGTATAATATTCATATTTAAACTTAATTCTTTACTAACTTATTTTTGAAAAATTTTGTACCATTAACATCAGGGAACTATATAAATTAATATCTATGTTATAATTCCATCTTTTCCTTTGGAAGGAGATATTCAAACTATAAAAAACAAAACAAAACACTATCATATCTAAGTTTGGACAGTGAAAAATGTGAACATCTTTATCATTCCAAATGATTGCCTTTTTTTAAACTCAGCTCATAGAGTTCTTAAATAACATCATGCCATTTGATTTTTACTTTTAAAGCTACCATTTATAATAATTTATCTGAATTAGTTAAAATTTTTATTAAACTTTATCGATTGATTTTCTGTATCTTTAGAATATGTTGGTTTGAACTTTTCTGTAAATATAAGTAGAGAAAATTAAGCATGGACTGTGGGCTATTAGAATAAAAAAAACATGACCTATGGTTTTGCAAAAATTATGTGTACATAATATTTAAATAAAGCCCTGCAGAAATGTAGTGTGCAAAGTAAAACTTAATATAGCCCCAATGTAAAGGAAAGTTCTATTTCAAATGTTTTAATGACTTTTATTAACATTAGGGTTTGTCATCATCTTCTGTCTTTAGGTTGTAAACACAGGATTTAATGTAGAGTTTCATGTCCTTTTGTTCACATTCTTTCTCTATTCACATTCTACTCAGTGTGATTGTCATCTGTTATAAGAAGAATCTTGGGTCAACATTCAAAATAACTTTGAACTTGAAAAATCCTCCATTTGGGCTTTTTTATTTTATTTTAATCCTTACCTGAGGATATGTTTATTGCTTTTAGAGAAAGAGGAAAGGTGAGAAACATCAATGTGAGAGAGGAAACATCGATTGGTTGCCTCCTATCCATGCCCTGACTGGGGATCGATCAAACCTGCAACTTTTTGATGCATGGGATGATGCTCCATCCAAACTGAGCCACATCTACCAGGACTCCATTTAGTTTTGAGAAAAAAACTAAATTGTACTTACAGAACTTACACATAATGGCTTATTTTGTGAGTAGATATGACATGTAAAACTTAGTTTAAGGGAACAAAGACAACCCTTGGTGATAGCAGGTGAGTGGATGCATGTTCAAACAGATCTGTTTTCCAAACTTTAGTAACTAACTTGAGGATAAAAATGATAATTCAATGGCTATCAGGAGTTTCTTTTCCAATTGCACTGAGTAAACTCTTTACTGCAAGTGTTACTGTGTTGTGACATATGCTAGCAGATATATTAGATATTTCAGAAAGTATTTGTATTTTTTAAACAAGAACTGTTGCTTTTTAAAATCTGGGTTAATGAGTATTAATTAAATGCACTTAATGATTAAATGAATTACTACTAAAATAATTTTTTCACAAAGGATATTTGAATGTAACAGAGAGAGACCTAATGTCAATGTTGTAGTACCACAGTTAGATTCTCATGGTTTATCTTCTATCTAAAGCATATCTGAAGAGAATAAATAAGTTCATCAAGAAGCACAATATTGTAGGTTAGGTTGATTCTTAACTGTTAATAATAATAATTAAAAATAAATGGGATTCTTACCCAGCCACCGTGGTTCAGTATTTGAGCATGGACTTATGAAGCAGGAGCTCTTGGTTAGATTCCCATCAGGAAATATGCCCAGGTTGCAGGCTAGATCCACTGTAGGGGGCTTGTAGGAGACAGTGGATCAGTGGTTTTTCTCTCATCATTGATGTTTCTATCTCTCCTCTCCCTTTCTCTCTGAAATCAATAAAAAAATATTTTTAAATGGGATTCTTAAATTACAATGTATTGATAATATGAAATATTTTAAAAATGTAATTGCATTGTTGATGAAATCAGGATATTTGACATCTTAATGGTCTTGTTTAAAATGTTTTTTAAACCAGTGTCCTTTAATAGTAATAAAAGGCGTAAGTGTAGGCATACACTTGTATGCCAATTGGTTATCTACCTAATATTGCTAGGTGAGTCTTAAATTTGACTTCACAGAGTCAAAACCTAGGCATTTTATTGCTTTCTAATGAGCCATTAAGCTGATGAAGAGGCAATTGGATAGGCAATTAATGTAGTTCTAACTTGAGTTTTCTGGTTTTAGGTTCTTCAGAAGATGATGAGGTCATTCAACCAGTTTTCATCAGCCCCAGGTGAGTCTATTTTCCCCCCCAAATAAATAATTAATTTAACTTATGTTTGAAAAGATCGCTAGAGGCATATAAGAAACTTGACAGCCTTCAGAAACTCACTTTGGCAAGATTGGTACCATATTCCACTGTACTCCAGCTAACTCTGTCCTGGAAACTGATATTCCCACCAGTATGCAGGGATGAAATATCCTCATTAACTGCTTTTCCTCCTGATTTTAGCAGCGTTGGATTTTGTGGGTTTTTTCATAACTCAGGCAAAATAGATAATTATATGCTTATGTAGCTGAATGAAGATTATTTGTAGCTTGTTCATTTTTGAAACACCCATAGGCTGAATTAATTTAAAGATAGAGAGTTGGTACTGTTTTCAAATAAGTTACCATAACATAGAACATTTTTTCAGAGAATTAGGGAATTTCACTAGTCTAGGAAAGCCTCCATTTATTTTGATTTTCATGAACTTGTGTCATATTTGTTTCTTATTATACTGCAAGAATGAGGCATTTGAACTTTTAACACTTTAAACCTGGACTTATTTTGTTATATATATTTTCATTTATTTAAGTGTACTATAAACCTGGATTTTGGGTACATAACTATTTTCTGAAATTACTGAAATTCACTTAAAACTTATAACACTATTTTTGGCTCTGATGAAATTAAAATCTTGGCTCTATTGACTGATATTACTATGAAAATACATTTAAAAGCTATGATATAACAAAGTTTCTGATCATTAAGTAAGTTTAAGTAAAAAGACGTTATTCTGTTATTAAATAGCTTATCAAATTTAAGATTATAGGTAGAAAGAGGAAAATGGTAGGGATCAAAAAGTTTAATGAGGAAACCACTGATAGGCATTGCCATTTGACAAACACTTTCCTTTTTTCTAGAGTGAATCCTTTGACATGGAGATGATGCTCTAATGAGTATCATGAAAAAGAAGATTCTGAAAAGTTGCTACAATATTTTAATTTACCAGCTAGTTTCTGATAACTGTAGACTGTGGTTTTTCTGTGGGGGGCAAACTGGAGACAAGCCAGATAACCTTTTTCTTTTCTGTTGGGAAACAATGTTAACACCAATGTGTTAAGTGACTGCAATAAAGTTTCATGTCTGTGTTTCCTTGAGATTAAAAAGGTGTTGTTTGGGAGAGGATCCACTTTCACCGAAAAGAGTGGTTATTTCCAGGGATTACATTTAAACTGAAATGCTTGAACATCTATTGGTCCAGTCTCTCCTCACTTTGCAAATGAAGTAACTAAGGCCAGAGATTCTTAGTAATTAGCAAGGTCAGCAAGTGGGACCAGAACTCTGGCTTCCAGTTTCTGGCTGGATGTTCTTTCTCCACAGATTTGCTTCCCACACAAGCATCTTTAAAACCTGATTTCTTCCCACTTCCCTCATCTTTCATTCCCCTACTGTTCTTCTCCTTCCCATGTTGCACACACCTGACCCCTTCTCCCAAATAAAGCCAAAGTGGAAATGTTAAAATAAATACCTGGAAAACAGTTCATTCTCTTATTTCATTTATTTCTTTTGATGACATTAAGTTATAATAAACTTTCACTCATTGCCTTGGAGGGGAAAGAATACTTATTTACATTCTTTAGTGTCATTTATACAGACAGAATGTTTACCGCAAAAATATGTTTAAATTATGAAGCATAGATTCAACTGGTACAGATGAAAAATAATGGCTCATTTTTTATATAAAACAAGAAGCTTCCTTTGTGCTATTCTGGGCAAAATAATGGAGAGCTTATTACAAAATGATTTTTCTAACCTATTTCTGCCCTCATTAAAATCATTTAAGAAAAATGTTTTGTTTTTTTTTTTCCTTTTCATTGGGGGAGTGTGGTAATGGAACAGGATTTTCTTTTTCTGTGTCAGTTGTTTTAAGGAAACTTTTTACAAAATGGATGCCCCTAAAATAATGTCCTTTTTCTGAATTAATTTTATTGCTACAAATACATAGCCGAAACATAGCTGGTCAAAAAGAAGGAAACATTTGCAAATGTTTCTTTTTTGAAGTGTTGAAAGCAATTTGGAAAATTTAAAGTATGTGCTAATAGTTTCCTTTATTTCCATAATTTTATTTAATTATACCTGGAGAAATGTGTTAAGATATTTAAGAAAAAAAATTTTAAAGAGATTTACAACTATGTAAAAATTCTCAAGAGAGAAGAATTGTGTTAAAAGCCAGAGAATTTTCCTTCCAGATTAGGAAATTAAATAAAAGGGAATTTTGCTTTTTGAAAACAAAAAACATAATGCCCCCCCCCCCCCCCAATATTCTGAAGTGCCTTTATTATAAGATCAAGGCACCCAGGGGAGTACTTTCATTGTTAAGAATTTTAAGAAAGTTATTTGCTTAGTAGTTTGCTGAAATCTCAATGGGAAGGAATCGGGAACAGTTGCCCGACGTGCAGCTTTCGAGCTGGGAAACCACAATCGCCAAGGCCAGAGAGCAGGTTCCCTAGGATCGCCCCTGGCCGCCCCCTTGCCGGTCGGAGGGCTTTCTCTGACCCTGCAAAGGTGCCGGCGCTGTTTTCGCGGCTGCCCTACGGCACCGGCGCCAGGAGTCTGGCGACCTTTCCCTTCTAGGCGAGGCCGGGGTGGGTGGTGATTGGGGGGGTGAGGCGGGGAGAGTAGGGTGTTAGTGGCCCTTTTCTGGGGTTCTGATTCCTTCCCCTTTGACCTCCCTTATCTTAGATTTCCGAGACTGATAACTCCCAGATAAATAGGCATCACATTATACATACTATATCTGGAAATGCAGTAAAAGTAGTAGACTGTGCCAAGGGTTGCCTTCCATGGTGGTAAAGGCAATGGTTTCCTTTGTTTGGTGTTCTTGGTGGGTGGGGGGAGGGGGGAGAGAGAGGAACACATGTAAAAATCCATTCATTAGTGAGAAATCATTAGCCTTCGGAAGGGTTCCACTTCTAAAGAGGAGGTGGTGATGTGCTGAATCAAGGGGAAGGTGACGAGAAAAAGGAAAGGAAGTGTCGGGGAGGATGGAGGTGGAGGGAAAGGGCCGCTCGGCTGGCCCGGGGGTCTCGGCGGCCCTGGGGCGCGAACTGCGCGTGAAATCGCTGAGCTGCGGACCAGCCCTGGGGCTGCAGACCCCGCTCGGCTCCTCTGCCGGGAGAAGAGCCCCCGGTGGAGCCGCTCCCGGCAGTGTTTGTTACAGCCCCTCCTCTTCGTTTTAAGGACCTAAGCCTTGTTTCTGCTTTGATAAAAGTTACTCATTGCTTATGGGAAAACAACGACGGTGGGCTGTGGCACCTCTTCTGGCTCCTTGCCTTGCACGGTTGGAATTAAAAACAAAACTAAACAAAAAACAAACAAAAAAAAATGACCAAGAACACGTGCACTTTGCTTTTTTTAAATGTAGAAGCCTTAGATTGTGGTACCCAATGGGCACATGATAGGTTATTTACTACATTTTTACCCCCAGTGCGTTAAAAATCTATGTAAGCTATTTGAACTTATTTTTAAAAAAGATATTTTGGAAGAACTATGATAAATCAACTTACGGAAACATTTGGCTTTCACGAGTATAAAACATGCGTTTTGAGTCAAGCACAGGTCTTTCTGGCACTAAAATCAAGTAGGAAATGAGAAAAATATTAAAACCAGAAGACTTCAGGAAGGTGACAAATTGGAAAGCATTCTAAGGAGATTCATAGGACCATTTTATGTGAAAGACGCTTTCTCTGAGCTTAAAGAGATTATGTTCAGTTTTATAAAAGGATCTTAGGCTCAAAAGACAAGGGTGTGGGAAAGAAAAGACCAATCTAAGTAAAAGATAGTGCCATATCCCTGAAATGGTGATATTTGCTCAGTGTTTGTTCACTTTTCTCCCCAATTTCCTTCCCCCTTCCTTCTCCCTCTCTTCCCTCCCTTCTCTCCCCCTTTTACCCACCCCCCAGGTATGTAAATGCAGTTGCCTTAAATTCTTTGTGAATGAACATTAGAGGATTTCTCAGAGTTCCCAGTTGGAAAAAGCCTTCTAACACAACTTGAAAGGCTGATGTCCCTCTCAGGAAATGAATGAGTCGATAACCTCTGACACCAGTGACCAGTCCAGTGAACCCTACCTTAATTCCACTAATACTGGAGGCCCCCAATCAGGCAAGACTGACTCTCCTATCATACCGTGTGGTTGAGTTATGCTATTTCACACGTGTAAGCTGTGTATTGGGTAGGTTTGAATTTCATCTAATTTAACAATAAACGAGGATTCAGAATCCACCTATGGTTTCTGATTTTATTAAACTTTTCTAATTAAGACAAACTTACAGATAAAATAGCGGGTACTATAAATGTATGTTATTGACAACTAAACTGTACTGGCTTGTGAATTTTATGACAATTGGTTTTACATGAATAATAGCTTTCCCCCTCAATTTACATGCATATTTTTCCAGATTATTTTTCTGTTACCCAAATGTTGATTTAAAAAAAAAAAAAGTAAACCTGTCATTTAAACTATTTTTAAAAGGTACATAACTTACGTTAGTATTTTCTATTTTGTATCATGTGAAATGTTTAACCTGGAATGAATGCCCTTGTTAAAGTTACTTCATTATAGGTCAATGTAATCAATTGCTTTTTTATTAAAATAATGCCTAGTAAATGTTTTGTTAACAAATAATTTTTTTGAGAGCTTTGAGCTTTTGTTAACTCGTTCCAAATCATTTGGATTTTTCATGTTTTTTCTTTCCACCCCACCAAGGTTTATACTCCCTTTCGTGGGAGACAACAAAATAAAGACAAAAAACCTGTTTTTGTTTTTGTTTTTACAAATTCATCTGTCTTTATTGAAGCCTTTTACCACAGACTGCCGAAAACAGCATATACTTGTATATACATCCACTTATTTCAGATCTGAACCAATTAGTATAGGGTACATTTATATTTGCTTGTTTAGTATGAGGAGATGTGCATAGATACCATTTGTGGATTTCCAAAAAGGTCTTGGACTCAGGCTGCCTGCATTTCAGTGACTGTGAAACAGTGTCGGTTGGGAGTGTTAGGAGTTAGCAGTGTGGACATGTTTGGAGACACCCGAGGGGATTGCGGGCTTGGTGGGGGAGGGTCAGCTCGGCAGCGTCGCCTAAGGGAAGTGGTATCTGTTCAGTTTTCTCTGTAAACTGCTTGTTTAAGAAGATGGGGGTTGGGGAGGGGGAGAAAGTGTAGCGGCGCGTTTAAATGTTTGAAAAAGGGCTATGTTTTCTGTCTTAAAGGAAACAAGCCATTTCTACTTGATCTATAACGTTTATGGTAGCATTCGATGAGGGCGGTTAACATTGGTGTCGGTATCTAGTAATCTGCCATCGTTTGAACCGATTTGAAAGGTAAAAGGAAAGCATTTTGAAACCGGGGAGGGCGAAACGGGGGGGGGGGGGGTAGGCGCCTAATCCGTTATTACATTTTCATTCATTCGACTCTTCCCGTCCACGGGTAAAAAGCCACGGTCCAGTCCATTAGTCTATGCATTTACCTTTTTGTCTCCCCCTTGCCTCTCTTTCTTTACCCTTCCCCCCTCCGGCGCCCTTTTTTTTCTTTTTTCTTTTTTTTCCTCCCCCACCTCTTTCTGAGCTCTGCAGCCGCCTCTGCCGGCCGCCCCTCTGCACCTCCCGGCCGGCGCTCCCCTCCCCCTCCCGCCCTACCTCCTCTCGCTCTTGGGGAACAATCGCCAGTGATTGAGGTTCGCTCCACACGTTGAGCTGGAAAACGGGGCTGTTATTTAGGAAGTCATTAATCACCTCTCCTCCCCCCGGAAAGAGATGGCGGGGAAACCTGTGAAGTACGGTTTCTTCACCGGCCCCCTCCAACAAAATGTGGCCAGTTGATCAGCCTCCACACAATTTGACTTCACAGGAAGGTGATAAGTGATTTTTTTTTTTGTAGTAGGATTTCATTTTGAATTTTTTTTTTTTCTAGTAGGATTTCAATTTGAATGAGGGGGCTCCTTCAGGTAATCGTGTGCTTTTTTGGGGGTCTTATTGTAGGTGCCTATTATCATTAAATTTTCATGGGGATGTCATTAGGTTTAATTAGATCTTTTGTCAATTACATATTTCCTAAGACTGAATTAAATAGATGTGCGTCCCAAGCCGGGTTACTGCTGTGGAGCTGCTGAATTCTTTTTTTTTAATTAATTAATTTATTGATTAGGGTCTCACAGCGTAAACCTCGGTTGCTTTATTTACTAAATGGCTCTTTCCCCCCCTAAGTGAGATGATTTGGACAGGCTTCTGTGGAAGGCACGCGTGTGCACATGTATGACTGTGCCCCGTTTTTTTTTTTAAATGATTCCCAAGGACCCTCCGTTGTGCTTTAGATAAAAGCACGACCTCAGCATTCTGTTTTTATCGTAAAAGAAGCGCCCTAAATGTGTCTTTTAAGGTTAACGCGTTTTGAGGGTTTTTTTTTTTCGTGTCCATTCATAAATTATTTCGATGTCAGCAGAGATGAAATGGCGATTGGTTATCTCTTCCTCCTGCCACGGCCCCTTCAGGATCCGAGGTGAAATTAGTAGCCAGAAAGCATGTAATTGACAAAGTCACGTGTGCTCGGGGGGCCAGAAACTGGAGAGAGAGAGAGAGAAGAGGGAAGGGGAAAAAAAAAATCAAAAGAGGGAAAGCACGTTAGACCATGCGAGCTAAATGTGTGATCGCACAAAATCAAGATGTTAGACTGACGCCGAGGACCGCTCCGGGGCCGAGGGAAAGTTTTCGTCTCACGAGTTGGGAGCCGAGGGCCCGTGGGGCAACATGGCCGAAGGTTAATTTTCTTTTCTATTGTTTTACTGTGATTTTTCTCCTCTCTTCCTTTCTCTATTCCTCCCCCCCCCCCCCACTCCTTCCCCTCTCCCACCCTCCTCTGGCCGTTACCCCCCCTCCTCCTTATACCCCAATACCGGGCACCCCCCCACACACACCCTCCATGGCGCAGGGAGGGGGGGGGGGGCTTTCTGCAGCCTATTGTTACCGATCCCCCCAAAAATGTTCTGCACCGCCCACCCCGATTCACGGCTGGGAAAAGCTTTTTCACGGGGCTATTGTTTGGATTGTTGTGAGTGTGATTGAGCGCAGTTTCAGTGAGGGAGCCCGAGGAAACTTTTATACACCTGCCCCCTCCCCACCCCCACCCCCAACTTTTAATGGAGATTGTGGGGGGCGGGGAGGGGAGTGCACCGCGCGGACCGCCGGACCCGCCGCCGCCGCCGCCGCCGCCGCGTGTGCCTGGGAACGGGCTCTAACGTCCCCGCGATCTCTCCCCCGGCGCCCGCCCCGGAGCAGGGCTCCGCCGGAGCCGTTCCTCTTTGTAAATGGGATCAGTGTTCAATCAGCAACATGCAAGTAAAGTATCGCTCGTGCTGTACTGTAATGTGTGCCCGAGGGGGGGAAAGGGAGGGGGGAATTAAGTGTAAAAGGACACGTATGGACCGAGCCGTGCAAGTGGGATGTGGATCGATAGAACAGCGTGGGCTTCTCCTTCCCCCCCTCCCTCCCCCCCCCCCCCCCCCCGCTTCCTTTTTTAAAACTATTTTCATTTTAAATATCTTCGGTAGAAGGAAAGCAGGAGTCGACCGTTTCATCGCGTTTTCTTATTTCCTTCTCCTTCTCCCCCAACCAGCCCCCCCCTTCTTTTTTTTTTTTTTTTTTTACCTTTTTTACCTACCCCCCCCCCCCCCCCCATCTCTTTCCACGAACCGGACGGCGATGCGGACTGACTGGCTTTTTTGTCCCGTTCTGCCCAGGCGGCGCCGGCAAAGGTGGTGGCGACGAGCCCGGGAAGCCGCCGCAGCCGGCGGAGGAGGAAGCCCCGGTTCTGCACGGCACCGGCCACTGCAAGTGGTTCAACGTGCGCATGGGGTTCGGGTTCATCTCCATGAGCAGCCGAGAGGGGAGCCCCTTGGACATCCCAGTCGATGTGTTCGTGCACCAAGTAAGCCAAACTCACCCCCCCCTCGACCCCCATCCTCTCTCCCCCCCTTCACCTTTCTCCACGTGGAGCTGATCGAGCAGTTTTGTCAATGGCTATACTTGGGTGTATGGAAAGACAAAAGTCTTCCTCCTGGTCACGCGTTAATACCGTTTTTAGGTATCTGTACCCTAAAAATACCCTTCCTGAGGTTTTTTTTTTTTTTTTTTCCTAAGCAGAAAGTCAAATCTTTCAGATTTTACTGCTTGGGTGCTTGTTGACTTGCATTGCAAGTTCCCTTCCTTCATCCGACAGTGAGATTGCAGCGGTGCAGCTTCCGGTGTGGTCCGTTACCAGGTTCTCTGTCGCCCACGCCTAGTGAATGAATAGGTAAATGAATGAAGAAACGGCGGCCACTTTAGGGTTTAAAAGCACACGAGCAGCAGTTTGCTGTTGAAATCTGTAGGTCCCTGTATTTGAGACATCTTTTATAGCTTTCCCTGTTCATATCCCGTGGTCATTTGTACATGTAAGTTAAAATAATTTGATTTTTTTTTTTACACGAAAATCAAGTAGAACACTGTTAACGTAGTATGGATTTGAAGAAGTGTTAAGAGTGGATGCTTAGAAAGCAAACGTTTCAGAAATGTGCTTGGTGTAGGACTTTGTGTCCAAGGATACTGTCTCTTTAAGAGACTGAACTAAAAAAACATGTGGCCAGAGGCGGCTCTAGCTTGTATGTTTAAAATGTGCTAGCCTGCTACTTGGGGGTAAATTTCCACCATTCCTTATAGTGTGTTGTAATTTTTTAAGATGCTTAATACCGAGCCGAATGTTATTGCTTCTCATTTTAAATTTTTTTTTACGCAGAAACAAATTAATACCTCATCCCCTTTCAGTCCACTCCTCTCTGTTACTTAATCTCTTTTATAGCAAAAAAGATAATTTACAGTTTGCAAGTTTGATCTTTTCATTAAAGGAAGTTAAAGAACTATTCTCTGTAATTCTTAGATAGGCGTAAAGGGATTTAAGAGTAAAGAGGTTTACTTTGTCTTGACATCTAAGTTAAAAAAGATTCAATGAATGGCTATCAATATACTACAGGTTGACTGACAGTAGATGCAGGAAAGAGTCTGTTTGCATGGAAAGTATGTATTTTATTTGATACTCTGTTGCATGTTCCTGGTAATCTGTACAACCTCCTTTCTCCCTAAGGAATATCATCTCCAAATTAAGTATATAAACAATAGAAACACATGAAACCATTCTGTTTTGATCTGTTGTCCTGTAGTGCTTGGTAGCTTCCTGACCTTGCTGTGTGGTGTGTGTTTTCCTTTCCTAAAGGCCTGGCCATCATTATTGGCTGTTTATATGTGGAAGGATCAGCGTAATCTGTGAATTGAAACAGGGTTTAAATACATAAATAGAAGTGCACAGACAGGCTACTGAATTTTATGCCTCCTACTTTATATTGCACAATGAAACCACATTTTCTGCAGTGACTAAAATCACTGACAGATCCAGTTCTGTCAGGCCCTGGCCTTCCCCCCTTTGAACCTTCTTTGGGTTGTTAAATTGTCCTTTACGATCTCATAAATTTGTTTTATAGATGAATGAAAAAAATAGCCCTTTTCTTCTTTGATCACACCTTGTTATAATTTGGTTTTCTGTGTTTACCTTTAATATATTCAAATATCAGGCATCTTATTAATTAAATATTTAGAACCATAAGACATCCAAATTTAAGCTGTTTAATGGTTATATATTGATAAACATTACTAGAGCCACTAAATTTAGAAATGTTATGTTGCTGGGAAAGTTTTATAGAGAGTAAACCATTTCCAGTGTACAGTAATTGATTATTAAAGACTTGCTTTAATCTTCTGTTACACATTATGTGTTTACTAAAGAACAATATTAAAATGACATGTGATAAAAATGCTCTTTAAATATGTGTATTTGTATTCTTCAGAAGAATATATCTAGATACATTCTTAGGAAGAAGTATGTAAAAAGTCAATAAAACCTAAGTATTAGTGTTCTTTTTGTATGTAAAAAGGCAGGTAGTGATAATCTTTAACTTTTAAATTAGAAAGTGATATTTTAGGGAATTTTTTTATGGTAAAAATATATCTAGGAAAAAATTGCTTGGGTATCAATCACCTTATTTTTTCTGCATCTTTGATACCTGGGTTTCTGTCTTATATCGTGACTTAATGTCTATTATATATAAATTATATGAATAATTGTTTGGAAGCAGGCAGGAATCCTACAGATTTTAGCCATGTAACTACAAGGAACAATTTGATGGTCATAAATGATATGTGTAGTATCATGTGAACATTGCTTTTGCTTATACAATCAGATTGCAATCTTGGACAATTTTATAAATGTCTTTTAAATCTTTTAAATTATTTATGCTGACAATTTTACTGTCTGAGCATTTTGAAAGCATACTAGGTTTTATGTATAATTATAAATTAGATTCCCTCCCCTATTATGTCTCTACATTATTTTTTTTAATTTTTTTTATGCAAGAATAGGCATGGGTATTTAGGGAATTTTAAAATGTTTTCCTGGACCAAGATCTATTTATTTTAAATATATGACATGAGTGTTTTTTGAGTGTTCAGAAATGTGTGTCATTGGATTAAAAAAAAAATATTTGAAAATGTGTTTAATACTATATACACGAGGAAATAAAAATAAATTATTTTATTTTATTTAAAATAATATTTTAAAATTCATGCTAAGTCACGAATATATATATGTATATATATGTATATATATGTGTGTGTGTGTGTATATATGTATTTGTGTATATATTTCTTTTGAAAATATTGACTGCAAAGAAATGCACATCAAAAACAATTAAGTTGCTAGGAAAGTGTTCATAAATCTAGAATTTGTTGATAGTAATACAATCAAAATTCTATTTCTCTAATGTTACCAGATCCTCCAAAATAAACACATGACTTAGGTAATGTCTTTGATATATGCAGTGAAATTCTGCTGTTTGAAGATGGTGTGTGACCATTGGTGGTTTAAAATGACAGATTCATTTGACTTTCTAATGTTAACTTGTGATTTAAATCATCTTATATTTGTGGACTATTAATAAACTCAAATGTATTTTGACACATGTCAATACTGAAACATTGGTGGCATTCAATAAGGGATATTATATTTTTTTACAAATTTAACAATACTGGGTAAATATATTTGTGAATTTTGGCAGCACACAGTCTTTGAGGTGTTCCTTAAAATTTTAATATTTGACAATTTTGATGGTTTAATTTGTCAATAAGATTAATTTGTAGGAATATCTTACTTAGAAATCCAATGGGAAATAGATTTGTTTCTCAATTGAAGGAAGGGTATATATGGTTAATACAGACTTGTACTCCTAGATTCCTGCTAAGGTGATTTCATCAATTAGAATATGATTATTTTGTAAGTGCTAATAATTAATACTCCTATCAGTGTATTGTTATTAACAAATGTTTTAAATGGGCATCTACAGTTAGATTGTGGTCTAACATGTTTAAATTATCTGGAAAGGTTTCTGGCAACTTTTGAAATATAAGTTTTTAATAGACTTAAATAATAATGGTACTTTAGATGAATTGCATGGTATTTAAATATTAGATCTTTTTTGGAGAAGAGCAATATTCAACTATAACTACCAGTTGATATTTGTTATCCTGTAAGTTTTTCTTATATGTATTTTGACATTTATGTCCAGTCATTTCCTCTTGTAATAAGATAAAATAATCATTTGAAATTTATTTTGTTTAGGGGAAAAATATAATCTATTCTCCTTATTGCCCTCTCTTAAGCTTATTTGCATAGTGATATTTCTTCATTAATTGCATTGAATTTGGAAATCTTGGCCATCAAATATGGTACAAATTTTTTTTAACATAAATATATTTATTTTTTTCACAATTTATCTAAGAATTTTTTTCAAAGACAGTGTAATTCAAAACGATAGCAATTTAGCTAGTATTACTTGGTAGTCTTAAGTATTTTTTAGTGATTTGTTTTGGAATTCTTCATTTACCTTTGTAGTATGGATGTTTCCCTCCTATGCTCTTTATTTCTGACCTGTAGTTTGATCTTTATGGAGAGTACAAATGCCCACATTAGAAAGATTTTATGTTCCTTTTATTTCTTTGCTTAGAAAGCATCTCAAAGAGTAATGGAAATAGAAGAAATAAGAAAAATTATTGTAACATAAATTGACAGTATTTTATTGATAGTATAAGATATGAAAACATTTGCAGATGACTAGTTTATTATTTTTAAATTTTTTATTTTATCTGAGAGAGAGAGAAACATCAATTTGTTGTTCTACTTATTTACTGGTATGCATGCATTCATTTGTTGATTCTTGAATGTGCCCATACCTGGGATGGAGCCCACAGCTTTTGTATATAGGAACAATGCTCTAAGCAACTGAGCTACCCACCCGGGGTGGACATGACTAATTTATATATATGAAAATTTCAAGTATTATACACAATTCAGTTGATGTATCATAAAGTACATATCTTAAATGTTTTCAGTATTAATTAATTATACAACTTATGAAAACAGATTTACTCCAATATGTTCATACTTAAGGGCTTTTCATAGCATTTTATCTACTATATTTTTGTCATAGTTAGGCATGAAAACGTTTTTCACATACAGAATAGATGTGATTATTATTATTCTCAGGATTGTTGAATGTTTTAATTTCAAAAAGTTTATTTAAACAGAAATCTTAAAAATTTAAAAGGTGAAATATGATAATTGTAGTTCTTTTTTTAGAAAGGTATACATTTTTATACTTTGAAAATAGTTCCCTAAACCTATCACATTTTCATGATTTGCCTCGTTGACCAATTTAGAAGAATCCCAAATGAAATGCCTTTAATGTAATCACATTTAAAAGCATTTAGATCAAAGTTTTGTAAAACTGTAATTGTTTTATAAAAGATGATGGATACTTTCTTTCTGATTTTCAAATGCTGATCTAT